GTGTTCCCAGATGAACGTTATAATAAACCCAAACTCACAACAACATGCAGAGATGGAGTTTGAGCCGCTCCACACGTGTAAATGATATCAGTTCCTGTGGAGCTACTGTGCCGCTGTGTGACGCACGTACTTAACCTACACGCCTATAACTGCATCGCATATAATTACTTAATTAAATCGTAGCTAGTGCTGGGCGGTATACCGGTTCATACCGAATACCGGTTTTTATTTTTTTATTTTGCCGGTTAGTCGACGCAGGCAATATGAAGTCGATGGTTTTTTAATATCGAATAGTCGAATAGAATCGACGAATCGCGACAGCCCTAAAGTAGATAGAATAGAAAAAGAATAGAGAAGGCTAATGTTAGAGGCTTTTTTTTGTTAAAGAAAACAAGCAGTTAGAAAACGAATAGAGAGTGCAAGTGTTAGAGGGTCAAGTGTTTTCTTAATATAAAACAAATAAAAAACAAATAGATAATATAGAATTAGAATAGAGTGCTAGAGTTAGAGGGTCAAATAAAGATGGAAGAGATGCGTTTTTAGCTTTTTATATATATACACACCACCGAATCACGAAGTTGCTATCTGAAACAAAATTCTAATTATTTTAGAAAATATTACGTAAAAAATATGAATGTCATTTCAGCAATGTTTAAATACATAAATTATTTACATATCAGCAAATGCATGTGTTATTTACTTTTTTAAAATAAAAATAATGTGATATATCATATCAGCTTATATTGGACGTCAGCCATCCTGCTCTCTAAGATACTGACCATCAAACACATAATCTTTAGACAACCTGACTGATCATCACACTCACCTCCAGATCAGAGCGCAGCTTCTCTTCTCTCTCTGTGCTGCGGTTCAGTTCTGTTGATTTATGCTTCAGTTTCTCTTTATGTTTCTCTCTGTCTCTCTTCATTCTCTCCATTTCACATTTTACCTTCTGTAGAGTGTCATTATGTTCCTGTTAACAAGTTTAAAAGTTTGAGGTCAATACGATTTTTCTTTTAAAGAAATTAACACTTTTATTCATCAAGGACGCATTAAATTGATCAAATGTGTCAGTAAAGACATTTATAATGTTGCAAAAGATTTCTATTTCAAATAAATGCTGCTCTTTTGAACTTTTTATTCATCTGTGAATCCTGAAAAATAAAATGTATCACAGTTTACAAAAAAATATTGTGCAGCACGACTGTTTTCAACATTGATGATAATCAGAAATGTTTCTTGAGCAGCAAATCAGCATATTAGAATGATTTCTGAAGATCATGTGACACTGAAGACTGGAGTAATGATGCTGAAAATACAGCTGTGCATCACAGAAATAAATTACAGTTTAACAGATATTCACATAGAAAACAGCTGTTCTGAATTGTAATAATATTTCACAATTTTTACAGTATTTCTGATCAAATAAATGCAGCCTTGGTGAGCAGAAGACATTTTCAAAATCTCACTGACCCCAAACTTAATATAAAATAAAAAGGTAGGTAGACAGACAGACAGACAGATAGACAGATAGATATAGATAGCTAGATAGATATAGATAGCTAGATAGCTAGATAGATAGATAGATCTTTACCTGTATCAGTGTTTGTAGTCGGCTCTTGTCGGCCTGCAGCAGGTCATTCTCAGCGTTTGCACTCAGCAGCAGATGGTCTCTCTCGTGCAGCTCCGTGTGGAGGCCCTTAAGGTCGTCCTCACGTGCCTGCTGCATTATTTCTAAAGATCTCTGTAGATCTGATACCCTCTGATGCAGCTCCAAGTTGAGGACTACACACACACACACACACACACAATATCAATATCATACTATGGTCATTCCCACACAAACACTGAATAGTGCTTTCATTACAATAAGGTGAGTCTCTCAAACGACCAAAAAAAAGAGAGTTTTTATTTACTGGAGCTTGTGATTTTGAGAAATATCTCTGCATTTGTCAGGTGACACACACAAACACACACTCTCTCTCACACACACACACACACACACACACACACACACACACACACACACATTCTCTCTC